ACAAACTGGGTATGTGAGGGTAGCAGGGCACTGCTGAGGGATCCCCAGGCAGGTCAGCCTGGGCCATACAGCCTCTATCCCAGCAAGCTGCAGATCTCTCTGCACTCACTGTGCATGACAGGTTTTGTGTCAGCTGCCTCAGACTCCCCACATCTCCCCACTGCTGGCAGTGCTGGAGTCTGGATCAGTATGAAACCAGAATTTTAGAAGAATAACTCTCCCCACATTTCACTCACTTCCCTGTTTGTAATTTCTGGCTGAATCCTTCACTCCTGCTGGATCTTCCCCTGGGAAGTGATTGAAAGAGCCTCAGCAGTTTAATCTAAATTGCCCTCCAGTTCCCTGGTGATGCAATTAATTGAAAGCAGGATTTTTACATCTCTATTCTGCTTAAAAGTATCCCCTGGCCATCAGGCTCTCCTAGTAAGAGAGCTACAAGTCACTGTGCTGGCAGCCACATCCAGTATGAGCCTGGATTTCTAAGGGGATAATCCAGGGAGACATCAGGTCCCCCTGAGTGGCAGTCCCAGCCACAACCAGCCTCTCTTACAGTTCTATTGCAGTGCAGCATCGGGAATAGTTTCTTGCAGCACTGAAGCTTGCAGTAGCTGACTTAAACCTTTCTCCCCACAGTAATCTGCAGTGGGAGAAGCCTCCAGTGCCTCCCCATGATGGATTTTCTTCTGAGAATTTCTGTGAATCTGCTCCCCTTGCCACAGAATTAATCACACTCAGAAAACAGTCCTGCCTTTGCTAGAGAGAATGTGCTGAAATACAGTAAATTCCATGAGAAAATATAATGTCTGATATAGGGAAACTCTAAGGAGACAACTTGAATGAGCAAAATTCTGAGAGCTGGGTGAAGTAGGGTAGCAGAGTCTGGGATGAGAGAGAGCGAGGCTGTGGCACAGTGTGCCTCAGTTTGCCTGTTCCACAGATGAGGAAGAGGAGAACAAGGACTGGAGAGTTTAGGGCTCTGGTTCATATTCCCTGTCAGAATTAGCTGTGAACAGGATAGGAAGAGGTTTAAGAATTTGGCTTAAGAATTTGGCCATAAGTTCTGACCGGCAGCTCCTCCTGCCCACGCGACCCTGGGTGGTGAGAGCAGACTGTGGCAGACAATTTGCAGGTGGACTCTGAGCCAAGGCTGAGCCCCAGTTTGGCTGCTCTTCCTTACGAAAGGGAAGGCATGTTTTGGTTTTCCTGGGCTGTCTGCAGAGCCTCTCTCTCTCTCTCTCCAGTCTGGGACAGGTGCCAGCCACATCCAAGCCTTTTCCCAGTGAGTTTAATAACTCTACTTCCTTCATCCTGTCTTGAGCTCTCAAAATAGCATCCTCAGGTATGACATGACACACTCTATTGCCCTGCTGTCTGCTGCAGACAGTGTCCTCTTTCTTTCTACTTATCCCTGCTTCAGTCTATACATAGTCCTTGGGATTGGCATCCTTTGTCATATTACAGATGCCAGAGGGACTTGGGGATAAGAGGAGGCAACTCCTGCTGAGAGCACTGGAGTGTGCTGTAGAATGCTAATTCCCACAGCACTAAGGACGCATTTTGGCATCTTAATTTAATTTAGTACCATACTTGCTTTGGTGTTGGGAGCACAGCACATCCCACAACACCTGGGCTTTACCTGAGGCAGGAGACCCTATCCTTTCACCTGAAAATGGTGGGTTTGTGCAGACTATGAAGCAGTGATCACAAATCTCCCTTCTCAGTTTAACTGCTGACTCCTGGCAAAGCCAAAACTCCTGAGCATGAGTTCATTAGCCCATTGGAACAGTGCTTCCCTGGCTCCTGACTTCCCTCCAAGGCTCTGGCAGCCAGACACCACCTCTGCTGCCAAGCTAAACCTTGCCATGCTGTGTGATGGGACAGGCTCAGCACACAGCCAGGAATGGGCCTGTTCTCACTCAGCCACTGAGCATCCCTGCAGACACGCTGGTTGTGCCAGCCTCCATCCTACAGACTTCCATACAGGCTCATATTTCCTTTGAAGCTGCCTTGTCCTTTCATCCACACCTTATGAGGAGAGGCAAACCCGTGATTGCCTCATCCTTCCCTACAGAAAACCTGTGTCTGGACTGCTGATGCCCCATAGAGGAAGTTAAATGACCCCTTGAAGGGACTGGCTGCCATGTGAACAACCTGGCCCAGCCACTGCAGAGCTCATTTGGCTGCTTTGGCCTCTTGCAGGCTCTCCAAAAGACATCTCTCCCCCTCCCTGCTTTGTCCTCCTGCCAAGTGAGCTGTGCTGTGCTGCGTCCCTGATCTTTTCTGACATTAATTACCCTTTCCTGGCTCAGGCTGCCCTGTTTGTGGCCAGGAAACCAAACTCACTTGTGCCTGGAAGCAAAGCAGGAGGGAAGAGAGAGTGCCTGCTTCCTTGGATGGCCAACTGGAATAAGCAGGTGTCTCTGAGCCCTTCCTGCCCCAGGGAGAGCTGATACAAGGCTCTGCCCATTGCAGCCCAGGCTGGATCCAGCCAACTGCTGAGCACCTGCTCTGCCTGCTGGAGTCTCTGGGAGTGAGGGTAATGGGCCAGCTCTGAATGTGTGCCCAGCATCTTCAGAAATGCGCCACAGACAGCACAGTGCAGTGAGAAATAGCAGGAGTAAACCCCGCAGGCCACCCGTCTCCTTCTACAGAAGACTTTTTAGGCCACTAATTTAAAAGTTGCTTTCCTCCACTTCACCTGGGTGCTTGTGGTTTCTTCCCTGTTACCTCTGAAGAGGTAAGTGACACCAGTGGGGAGGCACAGGGCCCCAGCTCCTCACGTACAGCCTGTAGCAGTGTGACAACCCAAGGGTGGCTGCTTCTCTAAAACACCACTGAAGACTTTCCTGGCACCAGCCACATGCTCAGTGCCACCCACATTCCCAGGGTGACGGTGCTCCTGTGCAACCAGAGATTTGCTGGCAGAATTGAATTCTCTGAGCTTCTGGTGAGGGTGTGCAGTTCTGCTGCTGGGCTTCTGGAGACTGCCCCCAGCCTAAATCAGGAGCAAGAGGCTAAGTCAGGGAAAGGTAAACACAGACACAGTGTTGTTCCTGACACTTACAGCACTCTGAAGTTCCCATCACACACCCAAATGAAAGAGCAGCACTTGGAGAGTCTTAACTGGCAGCTCCCCAGTTACAAATTCATAGTCTCTATTAATTCCTGTGCTATAAACAGACAGAAAGGAAAGTCCATACTTTCCCTGAAAAGAGCAGCAGCGTTTCTCAAAAGGAGCCTGTGTGTGTTTGCCACATCTTTGAGCCTGCATCCAACATAAAGGCACCCACGAGGCAGAGTTATTTCTAAAATACAGCACCATCTAGTGCTGTACTGCAGCAGGTCACCCACCCCATGTCCCCACCCCGCCACCCGCAGCACTGGGCTCCTCTCCTCTCTTTCCCTCCCCAGCCTAAGACTCTCTGCCTTTTGGGAGCGGGTTTTGATTTGGTTCGTGTGTCAGATGGCAGTGAGTTGTCTAAGAGCTGCTTCAAAAAATCTCTTTGTGCCTCTGTGTACTTGCAGCATTCCAGCAGCCTCTTGCATAATTCATGGAGAAATTCTGTTAAAACTTCATCCAAACCCCAAATCATATGTGAAATGCAGCTGGAAACTATCTTTGTAGATTTGAGCCATTGCAAACATCCCTTCCCCCTGCTCCACCACACCTTTTATTCCTGTGTGTTAAAGCCAGGCAAAATTTCTAGTTGTGCAGAAATCCTGGGGCTGAGTGACACAAATACAGCTGTTTTTCTGGGCAGGGACTGTATCCCTGTGCTCTGCAGAACCATAGAGGGTGATGTGCTGTTGCTGAGGGTCCAGAGGGGTAAGAAAGATATTATCTGCAACTCAAAATTTGCAGTTTAAAGCATTATGTTTTCACTGGAAAATAAACTTCATGAGGCTTGAAAACTGCTGATCTGAAGTATCTATGGGATAAAAGTGGGATTAAAAGGGATTTAAAATGCTGCAAACACAATTTGGTAGGTGTAGAAGTTGTTTGGCCAAAAGCAGAGCCGGGTGATTATTATGCAGTTAATTTCACCTACGTTCCCACCACCCCATCACAAATGATTGGCTTTTTCCCATAAGTAAAATTCCAGGGTTCAGATTAAAACCAAATTCTCTTCAAGTTATATCCATGATTCATGTACGTGTTAAGCTGTGTAACATGGTATTAAGAGCTCCTATAAATTAGAGTAATCTTTATATCAAAGCAACTTTACACTCTCTTTCCAAACGCAGGCACTATGAGGTAAAACCCTTGAGCTGTAGGAGCATGGGAGGAGAAGGCAGTGGCCAGGAAATGCCTGCAGTGGTGCTGTGGGATTGACTCTTGCAGTACAGACAGGTTTCCTCCTGCTTTTCCAGGGAGAAGGAATGTTGTATGAAGAAAGCACAGCCTGGCCATAGCTTTGTCTGATGTAACTACGGGTAGGAGTTGAGATGGAAAATGTTTCTTCTGTGGTAACCAATACCACAATGGGGGAGGATGCCTGAGAAACTCGTTTCTTTCACAAGCAAGTGCGTGATACCTTTTCCCACATTTATTTGACCATTTTACCCCAAGGAAAACATATTGTTTCTTTGCACCAGGCTTTGTTATTTTCACTTTCCCAGAGGATGCAGCCAACATCAGCATGAAGTTGTGAGAATTTGGAAGCAGAACTGCTTGCTGTGTGCATAAGGGGACAGTTTCCTTGTGACACCAACAGAATCAATACTGCAAAGTTTCTATTTTGGAGCCAGCCCTGATGGCAATAAAAATTGTCTTTTTCAAGTCTTTTATTTATTGAAGCATGAAAGCCAGCAGGGTAGGAACTTGCTTTCCATGGCTCACAGCAAAGGCAGGGTTGGAGGATTGTGGTGGACAAGTTCTCAGACACAGCTGTGCTGAGACTCTTGGAGGTTCTGCTTTTGGAGCCCCAGGGCACAGTCATGAACGGTGGAGCCTTGGAAATCCACGTGGCCAAAGCATTTTGCTACTCAGCCATCAGGAAACCCATTTTGCAGGTGCTGTGGTCTTACCTCCACATGTGAAACGGGCCTCTCTTGCTGTTTTTGCACAAACAGGAGCTGCTGCCTCACGCTGGATCTGCCTCCCATAAATGCACCAACATCCTGCCCTGAAGGAGAGAAGTTCCAGACCCTGCCAAGTATCAACATCAAGAACGTGTCCCACGGAGACAAGGCCACACAGCAGCTTCCATGTGTCAGCATTCCCACTGAGTCCTTCCAACAGGCAGCCCAAATTCACTGCTCACACACACAGTTACGGTAAGCTAATATTCAGATTAAAACATTGGAAAATTCACCTTTATGTACCTCTCCTTGGCACTGTCTTAGCCTTTCCTGGGTCAGCGTGGGACTGTTGCCTCTCTTTGCTTCTAGACCTTTTATTTTTCCCTTTGCCAACCTAATTATGAGTGTCCCAGCTGAGAGGCTTTTCCATTTCCTTCATTTGCTAGGAAACTAAATGTCTGTACATTTCCACAGGGGTCTGTAAACATTTCATGGTACATTCTTCTAATTAGAAAACAATAGTCTGTAGTTGGGTTTACATTGCTATGCTTATTAGGAAGAAAATGCTGGGCTAGTTTTGTGTTATGTGCAACCTGAGAGTGTACATTTGTGTGCTGTTCAGAGGAGTATTTAATTGGTTTTTTGGAAATGTATCTTGGGGGTTTCTTGGTTTCTGAATCAACACAGAGAGTTTACAGCTAGTTATTGTATGAAATTACAGATCACATGTTCCTGTGAACTTTCCCTAAGTTTATTCAACTTATAGAATACAAGTTGAAGTAAGGAAGAAAAATTGCATGGCTTCAGCAATGAGCCATCTCCTTGGGAGGCACTACTTGTGATCAGGCAGTAAATTTTGGAGCAGTTGGGCAGAACTAGGAACAAATATCTCAATTAATATCTGTACAAAGGGGAATCAGAGGTTTCCCACACTTCTAAGATGATTAATAGTATTCTAGGAACATGCAGCAAGAATCCATGAGTGCATCAGTCTGATCCTCCATATAATACAGGCTGTAGTAATAAAAATCAGATTGAAATTAATGTCCTTTGAACTGCATATGTGTTTGAGAAAAGAGTCCAGTCTGCGTTAAAGGTTGCCAGTAGTGAGGAGTTGATTGCTACCTTAGTAAATTGTTCCATTTATTAGAAATGTTCACTTTATTGCTACTCTAAATTCTCACTTCAACCCCCAGCCTACAAACCTACATTTTTTCTGCCAGAATGAAAAGTCTTTGGTCAGTTTTGTTCCCTGCATTTCTGCTTCAACAGAATATAAGATCACTCTGTAACAAGAAGAAGAAATTGCAGTACTGGATCCTTCTGCTTGAAACTTATTTTGTAACCTTTTAATTCAATTCATGGCTCTTGCCTGGACCTTTTTCAGTCTATCCATGTCCTGTGAATAGTGAACCCAAGCACTGTGTGCTGCCATATGCATCAGTACCAAGTGCAAGGCTGGGGGAATTGTTCTTTGGTACTGATGATGTTACAACACCCAGTCACAGAAATGCCTCTTGGAAGACCATTTTTGGAGACCTGCTCACCATCCCTTGCCTTACAGAGTAAGACAGATCCTAACTCCCTCTGGTAATCTGGACTTGGACTTATTTTTTAGGAGCCACCCTCCCAGATGGCCAAAGGCTGCAGTGTGGAGGATCACAGCCCCCTGGAAGTCTCCGTTGTGAATCACAACAGGCACAGCCACAGGGTGCTGTGCCCCTCTGCCTGCCCTTGACAGAAAGAGCCCAATTCAATGCTAACCCTTAAGCAAACAGTGCCCTGACCTCCCAGTCAGCAGAGCAGCCCTTCTTGCTTATTTTATCCTGGTATTTGAACTGCAGCACATTCCAGTTGGGTAAAAAGGCTTCGCTGTCTGGAGCATGCCGGAGTCAGGTGGTGAGCATACCAAGAGCCAGACAGGATACTGTGCTTCCTGTGGGAGTAAACACTGAAAGTCATGCAAAGCATCCTTCATTCTGGCTGGGCCTCAGCAGCCAGCACAGCCGCTGGAAAGGAAGGGACTTCACAGACAGAGAGATTATTCTCTTCTGCCTTAGAGGCTACCTGGACTTTTAATTATATAAAGTTTTGTAAACATACAAACCTTGTATGTTTAAAGGCTGCTCACTTTGTTGGCAGAATGTACACCCAAATTTCTCCCCTGCCCTACATCTGCTGGGAGCTTGCAGCCTCACTCAGGGATCTGCTGTGGATGCTCTGCACCTCCTAAGTTTATATCTAAGACAACACCATGGGATAACTGAAGAAGCTCTTGGACTTATCCCAAGTCTGCTCCAACGTAAACTAAGAGAGAAATGCACTGCTAATTAACAGTTCAGATTTGCCCTAAGTAATTGCACCTCTGGACTGTCTCTCTTAAGGGCACAGAGAATTGTTACTGCCAGGAGAGGGACACTGGGTTTGTCCTGCTTTTAAAGAAGTTCAGAAGTCATAAAGAGAATGTCTAAAAGTTTCATCAAGCTTCATAAAGAGTAGAGGCAGAGTTCTTTGGCAGAAACTCCCATATCTATTAAGTCCTCTTCAGCATTCACATGAAAAGCTAAATTCCTCCCCAAAACTTCATGGAAACCATTTGTTAGGCGTTCAAGACACCTTCCCATGTGGTGTGGTTGTTGACATCTGAGCAGATTGGAGCAGATGTTGATGGCATCCTCACTGTTGCATTTTAGAAGCTGCACCAGTCACAGACTCAAGGCCAGCCTGAATTCTGGACTCTCACAGTGAGGATGAGCACAGGAAAGCCATTGGGATCACAGTAGCCAGCAGGTTCTGCAACAGATGGTAATAACCTTTCATCATAATGTTCAGGTGTTGTATTTTATGCTATTTTGGAGCCTCCCACTGGAGTGGGCTGGAAGGAAATCAAGCCCTGTCTAGGCATGTTTGAGCTGTGTTTCAAGAAATCCTTTAATTTCCATAAACAAGTGCAGTCAGAAATCTGGCCCTTGACTCTTGTCTGTCTTTATTCCCCATCTGTAAATAGAAATAGCAGCATAATCTGGCTTGCAGGGATATCTGAGGATAGAAATAGCCCCACCATGCAGGAGCAGCTCAGTTAAAACAAGTCACAAGAGTCCATGAATCCCAGTAACCACAGCCAAGTCCCAAAAGGATTTTTCATCACCTTGTGGAAGAAACATTTCAGTTTTCCGACAATCAATAAAAATGAGATTCTATTCTTCAAAAAGTTTTGCCTTTCATACTGATCTCCACAAAGTTCATGGTGCTCAACAGATTTTCCCCAAGCTGGTCTATTATATGTGTTTTCCTAATGGAGAATTCAATATTTTCATTTTTGCTTGCAAAACTGTCTCTACATCAAACTTTGTTTTGATTTTTATAGACTCGAGCTCTATTTTTAGGGTTATGTTATTCATTGAGGCTTAAAGCCAGCAGAGTCATCTTGGTAAGTCAGACTTTATGGCTATTTTCATGAGATCAGATGTAACATCAGTCCAGGCTTTTGGAAGGCAACTGCTTTAGAGCTGCCAGTTAATTTGTGAGAAGATACTGCAAGGATATTCTCTTCCTATTGTGCATTTCTTCCCTAACAAAACTAAACTGTGTTCTAATACTTTAATGTCTGGAAGGGTTGTAATATCTCTTCCTTCTTGTCTAGCAGCATTTTAAGTAAAGAACCAGATATGGTACCTTTTCAACAGAAGAGACAATCATTTAAAACCACTGTGATTTTATTTCTTTTTAGTGTTACCAGCTGATCTATTGATCTGTACTTCAACAATTGCTTTATTTATTGACCATGCAGTATTTTTAAAGTATTTTACTGCTTCTACAGCATAAGCATGGGTTGAAGAAAAGAAGGCTTGGTGGGAATGTTTTGAGGGTTGTGTCCTGCAGTGCTCTCTGTCTACTGAGGTTTCCATCATAAATCCTGGCGATATAATTCCATTTCCTAGAAATGTTCTTTGGCATATTCCAGATTTTTTCACCAATGCCAGTTGTTTTCAGTATCCCAGTGAGAAGAGTATTAACATGGTAGTTTCAACATGGGAAAACGAGGTGCTGGAGGGAGCTCTGCCAGAGTCTGTAGGGCAGCAGTAATGAATTGTGGATTTCCCTGAAGTGATTCCTCCAGGGAGAAACAATCGCAGATGGGTTGGTTCTTAGATTCTGGGTTGGTTTTTCTTTTTTGCAATACTGTTTTCCAGGATCTTCTTTTTCCCAGACAGAAGGTTTGCAGTAGTGGTCCCAGACTCCTCTATGAGATATCTGTGAGTTAGGAGACTTGGCACACACCCCTATCAAACACCAGCTGCTGCCACACACCCTCTTCCCTGATTTGTTATCTTGGCAAGCCCCTCACTTTGCATATCTGACCATTCCTTGCAGGTTTTTTCATTCTCCATTTGCCCTGATGTTCTTTCTATGCTAAGCTGAGCTGAAGATCTGGAGAAGAAATGCATAGTGGTGTGTGATTAGCTGTGTCAGTAGCAATTGTTATGGCCTGCAGTGGGTTCTGATATCTGTTCCAAAAGCAAAGCTGTTTTTCCTTCAGAAGCTCTCACATTACTCCAAATAGCCACATCCTTTCAAAACATGCTCCTGCGCTGTTCATCCTCTGCTCTGGAAACCACTGAAATCCATTCTTTGCCTGTTGAGGGACAAACAAGGCATATAATCAAGTATTTGTAGAAACAGTAATAAATGCTCAACAGCTTTTGAATTTTATTCACTTCATACTTAATTGAATAAACACCAAATTTCTAATTATTGCAAAAACTCACTGACTGGAAGCTTTAGAACTTTCTTATAAATTACAGTGCTGCTATAGCACAGATTAATATTAATGTTTCTTCAATGGTTAAAAAAAAACCCTACCTGTCCTGAAATGGAACATGTGAAATTAATCTATTCCAATTCTTTTTGCATTATTCTCTTCCCAAACTGGAAACCTAACTTATCTGCATCTGATCAAGTGCCAATAATAATTGTAAGCAAAAAACTTACCCAAATTCCTGGCGTGTTTTAGTTTCAAGATAACCAAGTACAGATTTCCAGGGTGTTTCTGTAACAGATTTTGTATTTGGTGTATATTTATAGGATATTTCTCTCATATGAGAGAAGAGAGGGTGATTCAGAGTTTGGGTTTGCACCTGAATTACTGGTGTTGGCATTTACTTCCCAGTCATTTTCTTTCAGCTGTGGGAAGATTATTGAGAGGCTTGACAAGGACTGGACAAACATTTTACCTGGACATTCTGTGCCTTGGGATTTTGCCCTTCCCAGGGTGGCCTGGATTCAGTTTGGCTGGGTGCTGTGTGCTGCATGTCTTTAAGAGAGTGACTCTCAAACTCCTTGAAGTCTCCAGCAAAGCCAGCAGAAGGCACAGCTGTTTATACTTTTATCTTGCTGTTTTCTTTTGCTTTGGGGTCAATCTTAAAATGAAATTTGCCTTGAGAAGCAAAGGGTAATGTGGGAGCCTTTCTGGTTCTGCACTTACTGGAATAGGTACAATCATTCACATTTTGCCCAAAACTCAGTGAAATAGCTGAATATTTTCTCGACAGCTGCCATGTCTAATCACACTTATTTGTGTTTAAATTTTGACGTATGGTTCCCATTTCTGAGAAGCCTTCATGCTCTTTAATGGATACAACATTATTTTTAAATTGTGGACACAAGCAGAAACACTGCTTGACATTAGACTGATTCTGAAACAAGGTAACCCTATTTAGAGTTAATTATGACCCCTTGAGGGGAGCTGGCATAAGAAGCCCTGAGAATATTTGCAAAATTGGGATGTTAGTCCAAAGAATATTTATTGGGCTTGAAATAAATCCACTTTTTTTTTTTCTTTCATTTTTTTTCTTTTTTTTTTGTGTGTCAGTTTGAGAGGAACAAGTATAATTGAATTGGCAAAGCGCTCTCTCTGACATTGATTTTTACAACAACTTTACCTTTTAGACAAAGTCTCACATGTTATTGATTTGAAAATTCATTGTGAATGTTTTGAGGTCTGGTTTCTGTCTTCTCTGGGGAAACCAAAGAACAACACACAAAACATTACAGTGTAAGGTACGGGTCAGGAGCAGAACAGTACATGTGACATTCTCCTATTTTCAAACCCAATGTTTGACTTTCCAGAGTTTGTTGTTCCTCTTGACTTATTTCTCTCTGCATCTATTACAGTTATGACAGAGGCACAAACCATCTCTAGATTCATTTATGTGTGTGCCCATGCCCACACAGAGCTCCACTCTTCAGATGTCAAAAAACTCTCTTAAAGGGGGGAAAAATAGCAAGACATTTTTGCAAAATATTCCCTTCCTTTTGGTTTTAATTAGTGGTGCTCAATTACACAAAGGCATTATGATTGTATGAACAGAAAGACCCCACTGACTCTTTTGAGGGGGTCTTGCACCAGAGGAAACCACATCTACATGGTAGGCACATTCCCCTAGGGACTGAGAGTACTCAGCTGTTGGAGATGCATTTACACTTTGTCTTTCTTAAGTGTTTGTTGTCTCTGCTGCCATATTTCCCCTTTTTTTTTTTCCCAGGCAATACTAAATGTCACAGGACAGATGCTGTTTAGGTAACCATGAGGATATGGCTTGCCTGAATGCTATTCAGGAATTCCTCAATTTGAATCATTCATTTTCTAAAGTAACACTTCCCTATGCAGTGAATCACTTGTGACTCCTACCCTTGTGACTGGGACCCCAGGATGGACCAGCTCAGACACTCTGCAGCCTCTGCAGGCTTCCCTGAGTAGCACAGCCCTGTCTCATGTTCCCATTAACCCCCTGCTCATATTTGTGGTGTTTCAGAGCTGTGTTATGTTGCACAGGCAGCCAAGGGACACTGTGATGAGAATAAGTCTTTGTGCATTGGGGAGGTATGACATTCTGAGATAATTTCTCCAGTGCAGAGCAAGAATTGATCACCACATGTGGATCCTGGAACTGCAGAGGACATCTGGGCTTGAAAAATCCCTTCAGGCTGCCATGCTACCTCCAGGTCTCGCAGAGCCCACACTGTGTGCTGGGTTTGTACATAGATCCTGAGTTTATTCACGTTCTGGAAAGCTGCCCCAGGAATGTCTACAATCTGGCATGTAGCATATTACAGCTGCATTGCTGAAAGAACCCTCCAGCCAGCAAATCCCAGCCCGTTCCTGCACAAAGGCTCCTCTCTGTAGCTGCAGGCTCAGCTGGGCCATGGCCTCCCGTGTGCAGATGTTTGCTCACCCTGTGTCCCCACCCCAGCAAGGGCAGCATCTGCAGGCTGTGGGATGTGGCTGTGTGCACCCCACCTGCATCACCTGCAGCATCCTTTGGGGTGAAGGAAAGGCCCAGCAGGTGGATAACTCCTCACACTCCTCTACTCCTTAGGCTCACTTGGGAAATAGTTGACCTGGAGACCTGGTACCCAGTGGACAAATCAGAACGAAGCCAAACCACATTTCCTGGGTGACTCTTTGCAAGGAGGAACTGCTGCAGTGACCTGCCTCAGCTGTAGTGTCTGTGAGAAGTACAGAGAAAAACAACAGAACATGGCCTGAGAAGAAACAGAGGAAAACTGAGCAATGTGGCCTCCCTAATTCACACATCTACCCAGATGTCCAGAGCTAAACCAAGGATCCTTTTCCTTTTTTTTTTTAAGCTGAACAGTTCTTTTCATTAGGGACCAAGGTAATTAATTGCCTTAGCAAGGAATGGCATGCACTGCACCACACTGCTTGCAGAAGTTGCTGATACCCAGAAGCAAAGATAATACTACATTCCCTCTATTCTCCACCCTGAGAATTCACATCAGTAACAACCCATTAGATCTCAACACTGTTTCCAAGAAATGCGGCTAAAACAGCATTTCTTTGGAGGTAACAAAAATAAATATTACTCAAAAGAAAGCAATTTACCTAGGAAACTGAGAGCTCCAAACATTAGCATATCTCAGCTTTCTTGGGATTTTTTTATTTTTATTCTGCATTTCTAAATGGCATGGATTCAGTCCCTGTAGATGGGCCGTGACGGCACACATCTGGTTTTATGGTTAAGGAAATAGCTGATTGAATCGATACACTCGACACAGCTGACTGGGGTAAATAAAAGAGGCTTTGAAGGAAGCCTTGTTTTCCCCTGGATGGATGAATCCATGTTCAGTGCTGTTGCAATTGCCCTGGAGTGCGTGAAGTGACACAAGGGGGGGAAGAGCTGTCAGTGTATTTCTTCATGAAATGAGCGTGCTTGCTCTCTGTCCATCATAACTTTGGTTTTGTGAGAATACAGCTCTTAAAAACTGTCAGATGCTTTCTGCCCAACCTGCCACAGTCAGCAAGAGAGGAGGTGGCAGGCTGGGCCAGGAAAGTGGGACTGACCCATGAGGTAAATGGTTTCCATCACCGTTATGATCACGCCTAATGATTCTGCATGGAGTAATTGTCAAACATGAGCTTCTTTGTTCTCACAAGCCCATGGGAAAGGATGGGGGAAATTGTAGGAGAAATCTGTGTGTCCAGAAGGGTAGCAGAGGGAGGCAGTGGGGGTTCAAACCTGGCAGCAAATCCTGACTCAGTGTAAATGAACTGCAAAACTCTGGTGGAGCCCCAGGGTTTTGGAGGCCACAGGCTCATGTTTCTCTGCTTCAACCTTTTGGGCACTGTAAACTGTAAAAACATTGGAACAAAAAATGTCAGTCACCTTTTGCAGCACTGGGGCAGCCAGAGAATAGCACCTGAAGAGTTTGTGGGGCTGCACCATGGACCTCTCAGGATGATCTCCTGGGTGGGCACAGGCTGCAAGCATCAGTTTACAGCTCCTTGTCTGCCAGATGTGTGTGAGATTCCCACAGAGCAACTGGCTGGCTGTAACCATTCCAAGAACTTACCTTTAAGCTGATAATTGGGGATAAGACACAGACCTTTTACAAATACCTCAGTTTTATTTGTTGCCTTTGTTCTCCTTGTGCAGACCATACACAGAGTCTTTCAGGCCCCTGCTCTCTCTGGAAGCCCATATTGATCACAGCTGCAAAGTTACCATCCTAGGAATAGTTTTTCCCAGGCAGTGGGAAAGTTATTTTCTTAGGCACCTCATTGTCACATCATATTCTGGGGAACTACTACAGAGCAGGATCTGTTAGCTTTATGACAAATCCCTTTATTTACATGGAGGGATGGTAGTTTTGGGTTTATCCTACTAAAACATTGCAATGAACAGGCCTGCAAACAAAAATGCTGGTGCAAGATTCATGCAGAGCTATCCCCAGGGCTGTTTATCTCCCTGCTGCAGCCCAAATCTCTCCCTACAGATGCAAATTGCACTTTGGGTTTTATCTTCTTTCTGCAGCCAGGTCACCCTCTCACTATAAAGCCCAAGCAAAGGCAAACTTAGGTGGTTTGTTCTAACAGCTGAGGACCTTTGGTGCTCTGTTGCCCTAAAGCAGCACAGATGGGGCTCATTTACCTGAATTTGACCTCTTAGGAGGGGCCTCTTGACTCACCTCTCCTGGGTAATTCTAGTGCAAAGCTGGAGGTGCTCTCCTAACCCAGGTAAGGCAGGAGCTTCCTTGTGTGTGTGATTACACTCCACATACAAGGAGATCATGAAGAAATACAAATACAGCTTGATTTGGATGTGCAGTATGCCTCTAGTTTGTGCCATGAGAAAGTGTCACCTGCCTGCCAGAGGCAGCCATGCTCCACCAAGGGCTCATGTCCTGCAGGTGTGAGGCAAAAGTGTCCTTGGGAGCTGAGCTCCTGTGTGGAAGGTACTTGGCTGTGTGCTCTTTGTTTGAAAATGAGTTTGAAGAGAAGGCTCTTCTTAGGTATTGCTTTTAAGGACTGCCATTAGTAGCTGAAGTGGTGCTGAGTGTTTAGGGGGTGATGGAGAATACCTGGAGGCCCAGTAGGAGAGGAGTTCATGTCCTGTGGCTGGCTCTGGTGGGAGTCCCACTGGAACCTGTGCTCCTTGATACTTACCAGGCTGGGCAGGCTTCTCTCAGCTCTGCCAGCCCTGAAGACAAATTATCCAGACCTCAACTTGGGGACTGTCAGAGAAACAAGTCATTGTTAAAGGACATTAAAAGCTCCAGAAATAATAGAGCTAACCAGAAAAGATGAGTCTAAACAATGGATTGCCAGTCCTCTGAGGAGTCAGGACTTTATAGAAGTATGCAGGCATTGAAGTATGCAGGTTGCTGTAGGAAGACTGAGATTATGACATTTAGTAATACCTTCTTCTCCTTTAGCAGGTAACTTGGCTCTGGACAGAGAAATGGAGGAAATACCTGACAGATTTACACCACGGAGAGCAGCACTTATTTGGTGAGTGACCTTGGGAGAGGAGGGGTGGTCACTGTCCTCACTGTGGCTGCTTTAAGGACCTTAATTTTTGTGTCCTCCCTATGGCCTGCCTGCTACCAAGCTCTCCCTCTGCATCTCTGCTTGGTGTGTTTGGCCCAGCATTAAGAGCATGTGTCTGCTCTGAATGGAAATTGTGTTTCTGAGTGACATGGAAGGAGTTTTCCCAACTCTGCTAGTATTTCAGTGCGTGATCTGGAGCTAAACAGGCTGCCCTGCTGCACCTCGATTGATTGCTCCTGAAGAAAGTGGACTCTTAATGCCTGTCCACAGGGGCGTTAAGAAATGTAAAAAGTATTTGTAAATTAAAATGCCTGAATGAAAGGCTCTGGTATGTGTAATCATAGAATATCACATTAAGTAGGAAGGCAAATGTCAGGGGAGTTCCTGGCATTCCATGGAGCCTAGCTTGTCTCGCATAAATAGATTTAATAAGCTCTGCTAGAATTGAAGACAGGTTACATTTAAGCATATTTATTGGAATTTACATAAGTATACATCAAAGAGAAAATAATGCAGGCTCTCAGTTACTTCAGTCTAGTTTTTGATAGCTAATACTTCATCCCTTCCAGCATATCATAAAGTTCCTTTTCATGGTCTCAGAAGAGCATAAGGAATTGAGTGAAAGAGCTGAGTTGTTACTCTGTGTGACGGTCTGGGGGTTCAGGGTAGAGCTCTGTCTGTGTTTCACTGGTTTCCTCGTGTTCTTGTTATGCCTAACTCTCGAGAGCCCTGAGAAAGACAAATGACAAAGGCCATCAGAACAGTGATACATGATTTAGCCTTTCCATTCAGGACTAAGCAGGGCCCTGGTGAAGGCAGAGGAAACTGCTGCTTTGGGAACAGGTGATCACTCAGTGGTCAGTGCAGGGCTGACCAACCATCTTGGCCCTTTAGCTGTATTTCATGCTCTTGGTGTGTGTGAGAGCAGATGTGTGCTGTGCAATCAGGAGTTACTAATGAGCAGGAGATGAGGTGAGTTCCTGGTGTCCCAGGGAAGCTGGTGCCAAAGGGATCTGGAGAGCAGGTACCTGCATGAACACTGTCCCCAGCAGCCTGTCCTGCTTGCTGAGTGCTGTGTAAACACTTGCATGTCAGTATTTCTGTCAGAAGAAGAGACATGAGTCTTTCTTTCACTGTAAATGTCCAGAGGCCAATAATTTAATCTTCTGTGCTTCTGTTCCCCAGCCAATAAAATGGGGCTGCTCACCCTGCTCCCCTCTACTTACACAAAGCTTTATCCCTGCTGACAGTGTTATGCTCCAAGAAGCAACCCTTAACACAGCCAGCTTGTACATCTTGGGTGACCTGGTCTTATCCAAAAAGCCAAGAAGAGTCCTTGGCAATCACAGCTGGAACTTAGAGGCCAGTCTGTGGTCAGAAACAAGAGCGTGTTTTGTTCATACACAGCCAACTCTGCCAGCTGTTTCCACACTTTAGCAAGTGTTTCCTACTGAAACACAAAATGGTTGATGGGAACTGAACCAGATAGAGCCATTCCAGCTAACAGCAAAGAGTTACACCCACAGAGAAGGTGAAAAAGATGTTAGATGTCTCCAATGCAGTATTTACCAAATTACCAGATGTTTGGAATCCCTTAAGTCATCCAGCAGGCCTTTGCAAGGCAATGTTACTCTTGAGTATTGTGGCTCTCCTGAAACAGCATTAAAGTGAACTAATTTTAGCCTTGAATTATGGGATTTTTTTCTCTAACAGAAGGTGTCCCTGAGGACATGAGGGTATATTTTTATTTCCAAAACTTGCCTTTGTATATTTTAAACGGATCATCTGGATGAAGTTCTCATGCTGGTTCAGACTGTCTGATTTATAGCAACAGCTGTTCACCTTTGCAAATGGGAGATTCTTGGAGATACAGAGCGCATTTATGAACCTGATATTCCACACCAAGGTCAGGGTTTCTTGCCTCATTTTTGTACAGGTGTAAATCCAGATAGGCTCCCGTGAAGTCAATGAAATTGTTCCATGAAAGGCACGAAAATCAGAGCTGCAGGAAATGGCAGAGCAGTTATTTCTTTCTCCAGTGGACTGAATTTCAGAACCCATAGCGATTGGAGGTGATTAAGGTTGAGAAATGTGCCTAAGGAGTGATAGGGTGTTCCTGCTGAGTGATTGGGAAAAATGTGGATTCTTGCATGGTGCCTGGGGAGCCATTTCTTCATATGGCTAAAAAAGATGGCAATCAGAGAGCCCAAAATTAGGAAGTAAAAAATGAAAGAATGAATGAGAGGGAGAGATACCTTGAATATTTAATCCCTATATTTAAATATTTAATATTTAAATATTTTAATCCCTATATTTCAAAAGGTAGGATTCCTACTGCTGAAACTTCCTGCAAAAATTTCTTTGATTTTCATTGTCGATGTCTGGAAAAAATAATTTACCGTTCTGGGTTAAAAAAAAAAAAATTAAAACAGCTTTCAGACAGCTGTATCAATATATTTTTTACATCATCAGATATTTTTACTATTTTATATAAACTTTGCCAGGAAAAAAAAAGCTTCAGAATTTCCCATTACATTTTCGTGTTTTTGACTGAGCAGATACTTTTGGGTTTTGCTTGAAAATTTGTAACTCTCTTACAAAAAGAAAATAAGTTCCTTCATATATTGTAGAAGCTCCAGGTCTAGCTTATCTGTGGGGACTTACTTATTCTTTTTTAGGTGTTGCTGGAGCATTAGTATCCAAATGAACAATCAAGGCTATATAACTTTATTATTACCAAACCTGCTGTATTTCACACATTAGCACTCTCTTCACCTCCAGCCACTCAATCCATCTCTGTGTCTCCATATAATACTCTTAGAGCTGAGCTGTTGATGCCAGCTCTGATTTAAAATGCCACGATGATTAAGTGTCCTCCATAATCCACTAAATGGAATAAATAACATTATTAATTCAGTATGCAATTGTCTGGCTTACAACACTGAGCTTAATATTTAATACAGTGTAATGGACCTGATTTCCAGCTACTAGATGCTTTCCCTTAACTTGCCTCTCCAGTCATCACTATTTGCTTAAAATATTGTTCCAGCTGCAGTGCAGCAGGAAAATTCCTCAGTAAAACTGAGGCAGAAATGAGACATGAGGAACTGTTTTGAGTTCCTGGGGGAAATGGGAACACAAAACTCCCTGTCAGGAGTGCAGGCATGGGCTGTGTTGATGTCATGTCAAAATTGTGGTACCCCAGCCTTGCTCCCAGGAGCACACAAAGTGTTGTTTCCCATTTGGATCGTGGTGGCCACGTGGTCCTGGAGGAGAAACAAGAACAAAAGGTGCCTGAGCTCCACTGACATTCGTGTAGGTCCCAAAGGATCCTGCTAGAGGTAGTGCTGCTCCTTTGGATGGATATTTGTTTGGCAGAGTTATAATGTGCAATCAAAAAATGGAGTTAAATCAAAGACCTGGGACTCTTCCCAAAATAAAATCAATGGGAAGAATTCACCCTGGTATCTTTTAAGCAGTCTGGATACAAAGCAAATTATTTGGAGCTGGATACTGCCTGCCAAAACCTGCAGCTTTATTCATCTGAAATATTCCAGCGTAGGAAAAGGCAATTCAGGACTATTCTCTGCTTTGTCTGGTTTAGATCTCAAACTCCCAAGGGCAGGGGCTGCTTTTCAATGCCTGACACTGGGACCTTAATGCTGCTCCAGCTCATCCAGTACAGGGATAATGAAGTGAGCTCCTTGCAGTAATTTGGTTTTGCTCTGTAGGCCTGGGCAATAGGCAGTCATTTTAAGACCTCAGAGATTTGGCTTCCAGAATACCTGATGATGGATTTTTATAGCCAGTTTTACTGCTGCTGAGTTGTTGTTAGCAGAGAACTAATCTGAATTCATAATATGTGGAAAACACAGTTTATATCACCTGGCAAATAGATGCTTCAGCTTCTCATCCAATCCAGAGCTAGAAACAGGATGATTGGTAGGATCTCCATGGCCAATCACAAGAATTTCTTTGGAAAGGTTCAAAATTCCATTTAAAATCAGAGTTTTTTTAATGCCGGGGGTTTGTTTTCTGAGTTGACCTGGATTTGCACAGAACTAGCAATGCACAGGCAAAAACCAGCTGGAAGTGTAACTGCAAAGAGAATAGAGAAAGCTTCCCAAGGGGATTTTTTTTTTTCCTTGAAAACGGGCAAGGATTAGATATTGTTGCTTCAAATATCTAATGAACAAAGGAGGAAAGCATGAACCTGGGAGCTGGCAAGACAGCCAGGTCAAGTATCTGCTGGCATTACTTGATCCAAACCACTGGGCCTATCACAAAAATGATTTTGCTGCTGGTTATTCTGGGACCAGGCTGTGATGTGATAATTCTCCTGTGTCAAAACATGCCTGAACTGACTTTCACTGCTGGACATCCATGTCTTTGCTCTCAATGCAAATTTATTCTCAACGAGGTTGCACTGGAGCTCTGTTCTTTGATAAAGGTATTTTAAATGTCTTACGTAAGGGTCTCTATGCAGAGAAAGGATATTTGAGATGTTTAGTTCTTCCATATTTTCTCATATTTGTCACAGAAGGTGCCAGAGAGCTGGCAGTTCGGTACCAGGAGTCTGATCCAGCCTGAACTCTTAGAAAAATCTGTAACTACAGTAGGATTTTTTATGGAGGATCCCTGATTGGAACACTCGGGCTGCTTCAGATTAGCCCTTGGTTCTAATGCAAATACACAGAGAAATTGCAAGGAAGATATAAATGCCACTTCTGTGGAAGACCTTTTTCCTCTCTGCTTAAGGATTTCTAAACATACAAGACCGTGCCCTAATTGCTTACAGATTATTGGGTTACCACAAATGCTTGCACTGGAAGTATCAGGAGATGCTGCTGGCTTTTTTTTTTCTTTTTTTGCCTTTTTTTTTTTTATGATAACAAAGTGCATGTCCACAGCCACACCCTCTCCATAATGGGATATAACACTTGGAAATTTCTTACATTTCTACTTGTGCCAGAGACTCTGGGTTTTGGTGCTGTATCTTCTCATGTGCCCCCTCCATTGCTGTCTGTGTTTATAGCCCAAAATGCAGCCAAGGGCCAGAATTGTTGCAGAAGTACAATGTGTTCATGCATTGCTTTGGATGAGAGATGGTAGAGTGCTGCCACTATTTTTCCAAGTATTGAGAACTTTTCAGCAAGCTCTGTCTGGTCTCTGTGGTGAGGTCAAAGCATTGGCAAGAACAAACTCAAAGGATGTCTTGCACCATTTCTCAATGTCTGTGGTTGGTTGTGTTTTAAAGTGTCAGCTCTTCCTGCAGAATGGAAACAAGGTTTTGTCTAGGAAACATCCAAATACATTTTCTTTTTGGCCCGTGGGAAACCTTTTGAAATCTTCCAGATGAAAAACAGAAAACTCCCCAGGCTTGAGTATGTGTATTTGTTGGTGCTTCACAACTGCTGAGGGCTAAAAAGTACAGGAAGTCCAGAGATCTGTGCTGGTAGGGTGCAATGGTAGATGAAGATGCAGCAGTGTCTTGCTTTCAGCCCTCTCCTACTGCCCTCCAAAAGAAACTCAATGGCAAATTTTTCATCCAAGCCACAAATGAGAAAATGCAGTGGTTCGTGTTTCCTGTACTTTACAGTAAGTTTACTGTAGCTGATCAGGTTAATTCATCTTGGCCCTGCTTCTTAGAATGCTCCCTGGTATATATTCTCAGAGGAAAAGCCACCTGTTTTTCCAGTCTGCTGCAATATCTACATTTAAAAGAGGGGAATATTGTATGGAGTCCTGCTTCTGTTCTGAATGGCCTCCCTGTATTGGGATGACAATTTTGCCACATCCCAGTCAGTCTTTTATAGGTGCAGAAACTACAAGAAAGTCCCTGGAGTGGCTATTTGGTGAGGGCTCTTCTACCATTAGGGCTGCATCATAGGGCATTTCTACACTGCTTTTGTCAGCAGTCAGACTGATCTCCACTGAAAGCTGAGCAGGGGAAAATCCCAGGCCAGCTGGGCTGAAGGAGCTTTTTGTACCTGCAAGGCTGAGGGAAGCAGTGGATTAACTGGATCTGAGTTTGTGCCTTAAAGATTTCCCCACATTATAAAAGCTTTCAGGTCTGCTTCAATACATCCCTGGCTTGGTTCTTTCAAAGGGTAGCAAGAGCAAGTAACTTTGGGTGTCTCTTGCAGCATCTCTAGGACATCCGGGGTTCCTTATCTCTGTGAAAGTAGGAGGTTGTTGGCTTAAAAACCTGTGCATGTGACATGGCAACCACACTGGCCTGTGGCACTACTGGGTTCTTCTATGAGCCACAGGAATTAAGAGCTCTGTGACATGCAGGGCGCTGGAGTCCAGTTGGTTGTGTCAGCAGCCCATCTCAAATATCAGCAAGAACAGATGACATTCCCTTGGAAACTCCTTTACAAGGAAATACTTTGGATTCCAGACGTTTGGGATTTTTCTGCATATTTGTAAAGTTAAAATGTTCCTGTAGGACTTGGTCAGCATAATTATCTATGCAAGGTTTTTTTGCTTTCAAACTGTACTCAATTTTTTATGAATGTTGGTTGCTGTCCACACTACAGCCTGGAAGTCCTTGCTGGTGACAGGAGAAACTGAACTTGCAATGTGCTGGTAGCAGTTTAAATTATTTGTGTACTCCCATTAAACAAGTGACAGAGCCAGTATTTCTCTTCCCCTACCTTCCACTTCAGTCATAGTTTATTGCAATAAAAAACTTACTTGTTTTGTCCCTGAGAAGGCTGGGGGAAAGGGTTTGTGTTTCTGCTTGCTTAATTGGGAAAAGGGATTTTATGTGGCTGCCTGCACTTGCTGCCCTCATAACACGAATTATTCCTCTATAGATTTGAGAGCATCCTCTGAGCAGTGAGTCATAAGACACAGCAGACTTCCCTGGAGAGGCAGATGCAGACAGCCTTATCCAGAGCATCAGCTGTGCCTTTCTTCTCTTTTCACAGACAAAGCAAAGGCCCACAGGGGCATCCTGCCTCTCTGCAAGCAGAGACCTTTGTCTTCTAAGATCAGCTACCTAAAGACATATCTGGTTTTCAATCTATTTGGATGAGATTTTATTTCTTTCAGCAGTCCCTGCCCATTTCTGCCTCAAAACCATCACTGTAACCCCACTGCATGATTTAAAACTTTATTGTCCCTTTCAGGAGATACTTATCTGTGTTCTCTGCCTGTCTAAAGTACCAACACTCAGCTTCTCCATGTGGTTGCTTTGGTAGGTGCTGTGAGTTTGGCCTAGTGGTCATTTAAGAGGTGCACAGTCTGAGGGCTGGAGAAATTCGAGCAGGGTCAGCAGTCAGATATCCTTTCTCTTGGTTTAGCACATTTGCCAGTGTACAGCAGCCAGAAATGGTTTCTCCCTGCCCTCAGACCCAGAGCATCAGCACAAACATCTCAGTAAATCCCATTCCATTCCTTGCACAGCATTTCAAAAGTGTCCTTAATGCCATGGGAAATTGGCTCTGCATGTGTCCAGAAGGGGATGGATCTGGCTGGATCACACATTCAGCCCCTGGCTTTGTTCATTTGCACCAGCTTCTGCACACATTGATGGGCTTGAAAAGCTCCCCAGTTCCCACTCCCCCAGTGCCTTTCTCTTGTGCTGGGCAGACAGGAGGATCAGGAGAGACTGGTTCCTTTAAAGGGGAAAGCTGGAGTGCAAAATGAGCAGCCCACAGCCCCTGCCTGGCAGTACTTCATTCAGGAACACTTCTCTCTCCACAGGGGCTGGTCTGCTCTCTTTATCCACCCTCTGACATGATCCTATATCCAGGCACTTAAGAAGAAGAAAAAAGCAGCAAAACTGAAAGCTGCTATTTTTAAACTCTGCCCTTGGCTCTTTGCAGCACTATGCTTTCCTCCCTGTGATTCAGTGTTCCTTTGAAAACTAGGCACCAGGGCCCTGTGGTTTCCTGGTACTTGGAACATAAAATCTCCTAATTCTTCTCTCACAGCAAGCTTCAGAGGCCAGGGAGTGATTGATATTTTCTATCGCATCATTAATAGTCACGGCACAGTAGTTTCCTAATCTGTTTTTGCACTGCTTCTTATTTTGAATCATTTGTCTTTCAAATTTCCTCAGCCCTCCATGTCACACAAAGCTGCTGTTTGCTCCCCTCCTGCCTTTTAACTGCTGAGTTGAGATCTTCAGGAGCTGGGAAGTTGTGGGGTTTGCCTCAAGGGGCTTCTCCATGTTTGTTTTAATAAGTGTGGCAAATAATCCTGAGGGTGTGTCCCAGAGTGATCAAAATCCTTGGGAAAAGAGAGTTCATCCCGATTCCTGAGAGTCTCTGTTCACCTCCATCACTGTGCACAGTGAGAAAGTTTGTGCCATAATCCATTTTTCCAGCTTCATGGCCAACCTTGGATCTCCCCTTCTTCAAACTGGACCTGCTTTGGAGTCCTCTGTGACAAAGGCAGCCCACCCATTTCACAGTGTTCAACAGGATTCCTCTGTTTGGCCATCAGCATGGAGAATCTGTAGTGTCTGAGCTGCTTTTCTGTACTTCTTACATACCTCCACCAATCAATTCTAGTCCAGGGAATTCCAAGTTTAAAACCTGGATATTAGACCTACTTCTGTGGTGAATAAGGTGCTCAGGGCATGGGAACTAAACAAATCCCTGGCAGAGAAAGGAAAATCTGGGATATCTCCTGCTGACCGTGCCCATCCCCACCACCACATCTTCAGGGATAAATCTATACTGGATAAAGGCAGAAAATGCAGTGGGACCCATTTGCAAGGGGCTTGGGCATCCACAGAGGAGATGGGGGAACACGGGATGGGAGCCAGTTGTTGAGAGCCAGCTCCTCCCTCCCACACTGCCTTGTAAACACCTGGAAGCTTTACCTGTACATGAGCTGCTGTCCCAGATTAAACAATGCTCTGTGCAGCTGGGGCTCTCTGGCATGACTGCAGTAATCCTGAACTCGCTGTAAACTGCTTTTTCATTCAACCCAACTTGGAAAAAGGCAGACAGGCTGTAGTCTAAACACCCCAAGAGTCTGTATGTGCTTTCTTCCAGCACACTCTGCTCTTCTGTGATTTAAAACAATGTGTCTTTGTGCTTATCTTCTGGGCTTGGCAAGGCAGGATTTACCTCTGGGTTTTTGTCTCAACAGGAGAAATTGCTGTCTAACAGATCCTTTGTGGACTTCCGACCAAAACCATCCAGTGCAGCATATGGTAAGTCATTCAATGTTTTATAAACTCAGACCCTCAACTACAGCCATTTATGGTGAAAACTGGCATATCAATAGTTTCTTTTTGGTTACAAGGGTAGTGAATTCTGGCTTATGGTTTTTACGACATCTCAGTTTGGGTTTCTCCAGCCCTTCCTTGACTATAATGCCTTTGACTTTACATTTGTTGCACTGTGGTGTGTCAGCAAAGGAAGAATCTCAGCCACATTCCCCTTGCTCCAAAACACACCGGCCCTTATGACTCCTGTTAAAGGGGAAGGTTTGTGCCCTGATGTCACACGTGTGAGGACGTGGCTTTGGATGATCTCTTACTGCACTGATGTATCCATTAGTCATGTCCTTGTCTCATGCAAAAAAAGGGGTGAGACAGTGGATAAATGAGTGTGGCTTGTGGGGTGGCTTTGTTTAAGTTCTCAGCACTTGAGTGATGCCTGCAGTGGAGAACAGTTGGGATTTATTGCAACCTCAGCATGTGGAGGGATACACTGTACAGTGGTGGAGAGAAACTGTGCTGGCAACCTCTGGGCTAGTGCAGAGCAGGACTGGGTCTGCTATGCCAGCACATTTCTATCACTGCAGCTCTGAAGCTTTCAGCCTGTGATGTTGCTCTGTGCTCAGTGTTTGTAGGGCACTTGTGTGCCCTAATTCCAGCACAGGGTTAGGAGGTTAAACCTTTTCTATAGTTGTTTGGATCATATTAATTCCTTCTGTATATCTGCTTCTGGTATTCAAAAATGGTTGTCATGCATTGCAGGGATCACCTAGAAATTTGGTTGACCATCTAGCAGCATCGAAAATATCTCCTCAATTCCTTTTTTGGTTTTGTTTTTTTTTGGGTTTTTTTTTTGGTGTGTCACCCTCTCAGTTCTGTAGCTACCCTGCTCTTGGATTAACCAAGCAGAGATGGTCAGAACTCTGCTCAGAGTTGGAAAAAGGGGGTGCTCTGGCGTGGAGCTGCTGCTAAGCCATGGCCTTCATGTTTCCTGTTGGATTTATTGTTTTGCAGTTGGGGTAAACCCCTCCCCTCTTAACTGGCAGATTTCTGCATTTCTGAGTTCTGCCTAGTAGCAGAATTGGACTGAGCAAAATACCACAGGAAGGACAATGCTGAAATAAGTATTTATTAACTCTGTTACCAGATGCAGAATGGTAGGCAGCAAATCCAGCCAAGACACATCTAACCAAATTTAACTGAAGGTCATTAATCAACAGAGGTTTTCTGACTACATGCCCAAGAGATGTGCTCTTGCCTGACCATATCCTATCTCAAATGCACATGTTGCCTTACTGAACTCAGCATTTTTCTCTTCCCATCACCCCTGTTAAAATTCAGCGAGGTGCTAAGAAGCCAAGAGTTTATGGTTTCAAAGAGAATGAGGGGTTTTTAAAGTTTCAGCTTGGGAAAGTCTGAATCTTGAGAGACCAAGCTTTTCAGCAAGTATTTTGCGCCTGAAATTTTGTGTTTTGTAATACCTGGGGATGGTTGTGCCAAGTCACCTTGGACATGCAGCAGTGAGGTCTTTGGTCCAAAGTCTCCTGGCAGTGCGTGGCAGTTTGCCCAAGAACAGGGATGGGCAGATTCTCTCTCTTTCCATTTCAAAAGCTAGCAAAACTAACATGACAAGTTAAAGAACATGTCCCATCCCACTGCTCTGTGTGCATGCTTATCCTTAATGATGTGCTTTTAAGGATCTTGGATAGGAACCAAAAGGAGAGCTTTGAAAACCACTCATACAGAATAATTGTATTTAACCTATGCTGTCAGTTCACACCGTATCGTCTTCAAGAATAATAAATAAGCAGTCAGCATTCTTACAGTAACCTCTCACTATTCAGTACCAGGAGGTGAGGGGACATGTGCCTCCCCAGACGTCAGGTGGGCCCTGGGGGTGGTGGGAGTGCTTCTTTGGGTTTTACACTTGACGGTAGCAGTGGGGAGATGAAGTTAAAATGCAATCATTCTGAGTCAAACAGTAAGGCCTAGGAAAACAGATGTGGGATGTGTGCCATGAGCCAAGATCAACTTCACAAAACTCAAAAGATTACTTCTACAAAAACTGGAGGGGGGGTGGAATTATCCAGTCAGGGCTGTGATAGATGGGGGCAAGGAAATAGTTCAGGAAAGTGAAACAACAGAATCTGCAACACAAAAATGTTAACTTCGTGGTGTTGTTGCTTTGTCATAGGTAGGAAATTCTTTCAATAGGATATGAAGGGTATGTAGTATCTTCCTCTGACATGAAATGGGGGAACAGGGGCTTTTATTTCTCTGAACTGTTTCTGCACTATCTCAAGAGTGCAGAACTGCCTTCCTCTTTAAAATCCTGAGCATATAGGGCTAATCAAAGTACAACACTTTGAGACCACTAAGCTCATCTTAAGTACTGCAAACCAGCTGGGCACTAGATTGAATTTACCTGCTCTTCTGGCCTGCCTTCTGCATCCAGGTTGTCTCTTATGGTGCTGTTGTGCATCAGGTGTCTCACTGTACTGGGTCTTACAGCTTTGTGCAAGAGTGGCCGTGGAGACAAAGCACTTCCCAACTCAGCTGTGAGCACAATTCTGGCTGCTGCATCTTGTCCAGGGTGAAAGAAGGAGAGATCCATGTGCATCTCTAAGCCCTGTGCTCCTGGGGCTCCAGGCAAGAGGCTCAGAATGAGTTTTGTTTGCTGTCTGGGAGCTCTTACCCTGCAGCCTAGAAATCCTTTGGACTTAACTGCAGGCTGTAAAACAGGCTGGGGAGACACTGGCTTCTAGCTGTTTGTCTCCAGAGGTAAACCACTGTTCATACAGTCCTAGCCTCTAGCTCCTAGGATGAAATTCCCTTTCCATGCCAGAAAAGCAGCAGCTCCAGCCTACAGAAAGCTCATTTGCCATGGTTGTGCTGTGGGCTTGTTTTCCTCCACAGTAGCACTGGTGTCTGGCTGGAAACCATGGCAGATGAGGCTCTCAGTAAAACTCCTCATCCCTCACCAGAATGCAAGACAAAAGAGCTGCATCTCTAATGGACAGGCTCATATCTCCCTCTGAGGAGAACCATTACAAAAATATTTCCCAGATATTTGGCTGGGCATTTCGCAAAACTATCCAGTTTCATGATGCTGATTTTCCCATTGTCTAGACAGTTGCAAATCCAGACAGCATTATCAGTGTGAACCTACTGCACGCACACAGACACACAAAAGCCCATTTTTCTGCCCATGGCTTTTACAGGTATTTTCTTGTTCGTGGTGGTCACCTTCTGAATTGCTCCAAAGTGCCTGGACAAATCCCATAGGGATCCCATTCCTCCTACAAGGCTGGAATTTGGTTCAGGCAACACTGAATTGTGTGGATGCTCTGAAAGTTGAACTGGAGAGAGGACCTGGCCCCTCACTGCCTACCTTCTCCTGCAAGGAAAACAAACTGTGCTCAGGGTTGGACAGTGCTGTGAGCCAAGCCTGGACATCCTCCTTGGGACAATCTCCTGCCACAGTGGAGTTCCAAGGATAAAAGTGTTCTTTCTGTGGCTTGCATGCTGGAAGTGCTCATGGAAAGATATTCTGGGGCTGTAGGCATGTAGATGAAGCCCTGCTAGTCTCCTGAACACAAAAAGGTCTGTGGGCATTTGTTCCCTCTGTCTGGCTTGAAATGTTAAGACCTGGTTGGAGGAACAGCACATTTTTATTCTGCACAGCAGGTATGCCAGCCCACGTTTTTAGTCAGGATACAGCACCTTCCCCAGACTTTGACATGATCAGTACCTGTATTTATAGCTCCTCTGTAATGCCAAGGGGCAAAAACACTTCTCTAACTTGCTAAATTCTTCACCTTCTTCCCAGGGTCTCTTTCCATATGTGCATGGTTTTCCTGGCCCACTGAAGTGGGGCTAGCCCCTGGCTGCTGGGCTGTACCTGGCTCTGTCCACGTTTCTGAGGAAGGTCCACTTTAAATACAAAGGGCTTGACTGCAGCACCCTTCCACCTTTTTTGGAGGGTACAAGGACTCACCCTGTGTTTGTGGAATGTGAATCTTGCCAAGCAGCTCTTGATTGTGTGTGGGTTTACCAGTGTGACTGAGGCACCAATATTGTTCTACTAATGAGAGTCCAGGACGTGTAGTGTCTGAACAGCAGTGACCTTGTTCTTTCCCTAGTAAGGGCTCCACCCAGGCTGGGTGATTTGTTTCCAGGAGCCACTGCTGGCTCCTAAAGGTGAACAAAAGGAAAGAAACTAAATATTGTGAAAAATAACCACAGCATGGTTGTTTCATCTTCTGATTCAGAGGTATCTGTTACCAGAGCCTGGGAGGTGCAGGCAGAGAGAACCCAGTGGGATCTGAGATAATGTTCCAGACAGCCAGTCCATGCTGGAGTGGAGGAGGAAGAGGGCAGTTCTAGGTCAAAATCTGTGAGGTTTTGCAGTGAAAGTGTTGGGAAGGGGGGGCTGGAAAAGTTCTTTCTTCCTCCAGGATGGCTGTGGTCTGTTCCCCAGCTGAACTCTCACTCTTTGTCTGCTCTAATCCACATCTTCCCTCTGCCAGCTGGGTTTGTTTTGCAAATTCAGATCAGATCTCCTTAGTTTGTCCTGTGTGTCTTGCTCAGTTTTCACAATTCCAACTTTCCACCAGATACACTTTAGAGCAAAGCATCCTACTTGCCCCTTTGTGACTGAAAAGGGAAAGTATTGTGGCTCTAATAATAGCAGAAATCTTCTAAAGTATTTTGCAGAAGGCTGGTTACATCAGCAACTTTACTACTGCAACTCTCATTGTGACATTTGACTTATTGAAAACTGAAAGATTCAGCCCCATGCAAGTTTTATGTCCATGGAACACACCCAGCTCTAGGGCAGTGGCCATGTTTGCCAGAACAATATAGCATGAACAGAGAGGGTGTTTCTGAATCTCTGTACCAGAGCAAAACCCAAGAACTTGGTTAGATTTTTAGATTTAAAACGTCCTTTCATATTTTGAGGTACCTGGGAAATGAGTGTAATTGGTTAT